ATATATTTCATTAGGTCTAAATTCAATTTCTTTTCATATCAACATTCATTTTACTAAATTATTGCTTGCAGTTATAGTAAAAAATCAAGACCTCAGAATGATGAAAAATGATGAAAACAGTCATTATAGGTCAATAGGTGGTATTTTGTGGTTCCAAAAAACCATCATGCCGAGTGAAAGTTCACAGAACTTTTTTATCAAAAGTCTTAAGTTAGTGAGACCTTCAATCACTGAAACTTTCAGCTTGGCTTCTAAAGGTCATCATAAACGTGGGAGATTTCCGGTGGAGCCATCCTATTACTAATCCATAAATGCATTTCTCGTTCGTTCAATAATTTAAAAGTAAAATTTTTTAAATGAGTGTGGCCTCTCAACCATTGATCCAATTCTTCATAGTCGTCGAAATAGTACAGTTCGTTATGAATAGTAATATTCTGTAAATATTTGAGTTTTTCGATAATTAATTTCAAATCTTTTTCGCTATAGACATGACAATTGAGTAAATGCTGCAGAGAATGGAATGCCAAACAAAACTTGGTTGCAATTTTCCTGGGCAAATATGTGCGTCTCATATCTAGCCAACGTATTTGTGGATAATTGAAATGGATCATTCTGTGAAGGTGATTTTCCGAAGGTGATATTGTCAAACGAGTAAGGCGAGGTGCTATGGTGAGAAGTTGACTAAATAGAGGAGTAATCGCACATGTGTCATCTAATTGTAAATGCACAAGTGTCGACAAATCATTGATATATCTTTCGAGTTCGAACAGACTGGACATTAGGTAGCACTCTCTATCACGGTTGTTATGTTTCAATTGCAATATTTCAACATTGGAAAAACGATGTAAAGGAAGAATAGACGTTGCATTGAATAGTAAATCGATGGATAGTGTCTGATCTCGTACGATTACTTGTTTGCAATCAATAGGTAACATACTGAACAGCGTCACATCGATGGTAAATGACCGAGAGCATCTTTCAATGTCCGTCCAAAATGGTGTTTGAAAGCGTTCAAGAAGTTGTTTCGCTACCGTCAGTTCAGGTAAAGGAATGAAATCGACCTTAATAAATAAATCATGACTTTATTTGAATAGTACGAAACAAAAAAATCAATTTGATACATTATCACTAGAAAATAGGACTCGATACTGCGTAGGCTCTTAGTAAATCATTTTGAATGCAATCAAAGAGAAATTTCGATCGAATCAATTGGATATTTGCTAAATCGAGCTTCTAAGCAAACTAAATCATCAAAAGCATTTTCGAAAATGGATGAAAAGTATCTGAAAGTTTATTTATCACAATCTTTTTGCAGAGAAGTATTTGTTTCTTCTGCTACAATTTTAAAAAAAGAGCTCAGAGATTCAGACTACCCTTGAGGAATAAGCAACATTAATGTATTTAATATTGGAGCTTTTTATTCAGTCGAGAGATAAGGAGAAAAATGTGTGATTTCCAAAGTTTGATGCGACTTGAAACAGACTTCTTAGAGGCAAAAAATCTGAATTTGCTGTACTTCTCTTGATCTTCTCATTCAGTCTAAAACAGGTTTCAAAAAGTTGGCCGTCCAGAAATAAAAGAAAAGAGCTCATTTTAATGAATTTTCGAGAAAAGCACGCAAGAATTGTATTACAACTGTGTTACGATTACAGTGACAAAAAGCATGAATGACTTCATCCAGTCACAAATAAATTTTGCCGCTGTACTCGCCGATTAATACTCAATAAATATGCTAGACTAGTTTTCAAAAAAGTGGCAGACAACTAGGGATACACCAATTCCAATTCCTGTAATTGGTCGAAATTGGTGAGAATTGGAATTGGAATTGGAAAAAAAACCAGAACCGATGTTAACGTAAGTTAGTCAGCTGTTAAGATTTTTCCTGAGATTGACCAGAAGTAATCGATGAGGAGAATTCTGAATCTAACCATTGTTTTGAATATATAGATGGTTTTTCAAAATTTTGAGATTCGATTTTTTGTCCGGAAAGGCCTAGAGTTTAGTTAAACGAGCAGTAGAAAATCCGAAAAAACCATCTATATATTCCGAATTCTCGACCCAAAAAACCTTTATCGACTTTTATAAAAAAAAAATTGTTATTTTCAAAAAATAGCTCTTCCTGGAGGAGAAAATCGAATCTCAAATTTTTGAAAAACCAGCTGTATATTCAAAAAGGTGGTTAGATGTAGAATTCTCATCCTCGATTGCTTCTGGTCAATCTGATGAGAAAGTGTTAACAGCTGACTAGCTTACGTTGACGTCGATTTCGGTTTTTTTCAATTCCAATTCCAACCAATTCCAATTCCTGGAATTGGTGGAATTGAAATTTAAATGGGAACTGGTGCATCCCTGCAGACAACCAATGAATTTGCACTGATTGTGTTTCCTTTTGCTTTGGAAAACAATGCTTCGAGAATTCATGGAATTGGAATATCTCTAAAAAAATAAGGTAAATTCATTAGTAAAATAAAACTCTGAAAAACTATTCTAATTTCATGATAAATAGGCTCAAATAGTTTTTGAAATCTCCCAAGAACGAAAAGTGACATACTCGTAAACGAAAGATCTTTAGTTGAGGCAAACATTTGTCGATCAACAATGACCACCAATCACTATCGAGCCATTGATGAAAATTTGTCTGATTACGTTCAATATGAATATTTAAATAGATCAACATCGAACACGCTTGAATAATTTGATCAATTTCATCTCGAAGAATGTGGCTGAGTTTAATGGTCAAATGAGTTAATGAGCAGGGAACATTCAATTCCGAGATGAAATTATTGTCCATCGAACTTGTTTTCAAACTTAAACTAAGTCGTTTGATATTCGGCAAACATTTGAAAATGAATGAAAGATTGTCTATAGATTTTAAATGAACTTGAAATTTGTGAAGATGTTCAGCAATAGGTAATAGTTGAAAATTAAAATCGATATTTAACGACTCATTGTTTAAAATGAGAGTGCGTAATGTTGGAAGACGAAAAATATTGGCGAGATATTTGTCATATCGTCTGATATGTTCATAGTCGAAAGAATAAATTGCCCAACGTTTAAAATCAATAGTGAGAGTATGAAGACATTTCATTTGAGACAGATTAGGAAATTCTTCTGGATTTCGTAATCGAAGATGTTTTAATCGAGTAAAACTCTAATCGAATGTTGCAAAACAAGAGAAAAAAAGATCCATTTGACCAGGTGTCTCTTCACTGTCGGATAAAGTGAGTGTCATAATTTGATCAGGATGAATTACGTTACATATCCAATCAAATTCATGTTTGTGTATTGTTTGAAAGTTAATTTTATATTGTTGATAATTTCGTATACATTGTCTTAAGTATTGACTGAAACTATAGAATGAATGGAGAATTTCAATTGCTGTTAAGTAGTTGAATATATTGAAAATAAGTTCAAGTGGAAGCCGGTCAAGAAGAAGCTGTGGAACAACCATATTCATCCGTACGTGAACAACTAAGAGTGATAATGGCTGAGTTCGCAATCAACAACTAGAAAAAGCATGTTATTTCACAATCATTGCCGAAGAATGAGTCATATACATCGCATACATATCAATCCATATTTGGATGTGCGCATCATACACTGTAAAAAAATATTTTGTAGAATGAAGAACGAGTAAAACAAATACCCTTATACGGTAATTTTTGATGCGGTACAGAACGAAAAAAGAAATAACTTGTTGCCTGCGGCTAATTTTCTTTTCTTTTGCTTACTATCACTTGTCAAAAATGAACTTTTCTTTGTAAGAGAAAATGTTCCGACTCAAAAATCTGACCCTAAATAAGTGATTCCTTGGACACGTTCGGCGAGTTTAAAAGTCTTCCAGCGGAATGTTCATATTTATATATTTAAATAAATCATTTATATTTAATTACATCATTTTACTTTGCCTGATAACCTACATTTAGTTTTCTACACGACTATAACTGCATATAGTGTAGAGATATTTTACTAAATTGTCCGCCAAGGAATGAACATTAAGAATGTATTGAGTATTCACATCCGAAGATCGTATTCGCTGTATAAGTACATTAATTACAACTGATTTTTGAAATGATTTCATGTTTTGAGATGATTTTAATCGTATATTATTGAGTTTCAACCAATTGAGATTATCTATCTCCGTAAAACAAATCATTTTAAAAAAATGATGGTTATAGTAATTGGGTACTTTCAATAAATTATCTTTGTTTTATTTAAATTCTATAAATTATGGTGCAAGTACTCTTCTATACAATGGATTTTTTGAACGATATTCATCCTTAAATGGTAAGAAGATGCATGATTAACTTTAATCTAATTAAGAAATTGAGTAAAAACAAACATTGATAGTTCTAAGTATTCCATCTTTGATGTTGATTTTTAGAAAAGAAATCGCTGATTATAAATAGAAATTAATAGTCGTTGGACGATAAGAGAAAACTCAAGAAATAAAAGTTTTCTATATCATAGGGTGTGGGTGTGGGCGTGGGTGGGTGGATGTGGGTTGTGGATCAATGCTACATCTATATCCACCCACACCATATTACATGTTTGGTCCCATAAGCTACCTACGTAGATCGATGCAGAGTTTTGATGCTCTTTCCGATTATAGTATCAAAAATGCGAAAAGCGATGTAGAACATCTCGAAAAGTCCAGAGTACATAGACAGCAAGGCTCCATTATATGTATAACGAGGACCTTAATAAATAAAAATACTTTTTCTGAAAAGAAAAATCATCGGATTTTTGATCAATTTAGTTCTTAATGATATAGTTTATACAAGTAGAACTGTTGGTCATGGTAGAAACAGTACTGATCTCAGACGGCACGTAGAGCCCGTTCTGCTGGCGCCTAAGGACATTTTTTGATTTTTTTCAAAAATTTCTTAATGTTTATTTTCGCATATATATGAGATCAACTATAACGTTGATATAAAAAAATAGTGTCCCAAGTAAATATTAAAAATAAATAAAAAAAAATAATAGACAAGATCATTCATTTATTTTAAGTAAAAAGAATATACAGCCAACATTCTGGACCATATTAATGATGATTGAACCGAATGAAATGCATAATTAAATAATGAACTAACAGTTGAACAAGTATGTTCATATAACTCTGTTGTTTTGCCGGCATTAAGATGTTGGACTAGAAAAATTCAAATTGTATTAAAAGAAATTTTTATTTTCTATTTTTACATACTTTCTGGTACATATGTTTCACAAAATGAGAAGACAGAACCAGCTACATCAGATGCCTTATGTAGTGTGGCTGTTGCTATATGAAAAATCTAAATACAAAAATAAATAAACATTAAAAACATGAAAAGAAATTTTCCTACACTCTCTTTGCTATGTTGAATTGTTGATGTGGTTGTATCCTTAACTGAATTCATTACATGATGAACAGATTCCGTTTTTTCGTTGAATGTATTCATAACCTCTTCAGTTGATGTATTGATAGCAGGATATTTAGATTCAATTTGACGAAGTTTTTCGACAGCATAATCGTCAATTACATGTACTAAATGATAAGAATATATATATATTTAAAAAACAAACAAATTTTTTTTAAACAAATTTACCAAGTCCATATAATGGTTTGAGAAGGGGATTAGCAACTGTAACAGCAATTTTTATTGATTTATCAGCAACTGTTTCGGCTAAATTACATGGAAGCCGAATGAGCACACTTGTATCTTTAGCTTTGGCATACATCTCGTGAAGTTTATTAGTTGATGAACGGACGACTTTTAATTATTAAATAAAAAAAAAACAATTAAAAATAATATTAAAAGTAACATTTTCTTACCTGGTATGTTGTGAAGATATGAGAGAATTTGAAAGCCCAACATGGTTTAGATGAACAAGAAATAAAAGTATTGAACTAAAAATATAGTAATTAGATACAAAGATTGAGGTGAAAAATCTAATGCATATGCTTCTCTTTATATACCAACAAACCGACATACACACATAAGTCAAAGAGCAAATTCAAACACGCATCGGTCGACGAAGAAATGACATAAAAAACAAAGGTTGTAGTATGACAAGATAAAAGTGGACCACAGTGAAGATAAAAAGATCAACGAAGAAAGAGTAAAGGTTGGATGACTAACAAACAAGACAAACTTTGACTCAAATAAAAATCTTTTACTAGAAAAATCTTTCCTGTAAACATAGAAAGAAAGATCAAGAAATATATGACATATTCATATAACGAAGCTTTTCGTACGTTTTCCAGGGTAGTGATGTCACCTTAGCATTAGCCTTGCATTAATTTATGTTTTCTTTTATGTTTTTTGCATTAGAGTTAAAAATACTAATTTAATGCTTTTGTGTTAATGTTAAAAAAATATTCTAATACTTTGGGATTAGTATTAAATTAATATCAGCATAATGCTAATACCTAACATGATTATGCAAGTTGTTTAGAGTTATATCACTTTAGTTCTATTACTAGTTTCTGTGTACTAGGATTTCCTTGTAACACTTCTATAAGAAAAATATTGTGTTGGTATTGCTGCTAAATGAATATGCATCGATAGTTTTTTTTTCAGAAAGCATAAGTATGTTTATTAGAAATCGGTAGTGTAAAAATAAAATTCATTCAATGGATAGTTTAAGATGACAGCGTCGTATATCACTTAATTTTCATATAACAGATGTCGAAATGAGTAATTATTTTGTAGTAAAAGATATCTAAAAGCTTGTATTCATTATTCTGCTTATGATTATATAAATGCCTATTAAGTATGTCCTTTTTCGATGCCTGTCTACACGTAGGGTGTGGGTGTGGGTGTGGGTGGGTGGTGGTTCTATCGAAAAGATTACTGACCTATACCCACATCCACATCCATACCCACACCCACACCCACACCCTTGAATGATGCCGAGTTGCCTCCAATAATTTATTGTTTAAAAGACGTTTTCCTTAAATTTTTTGAGTTCCTCAAGTTGACCATTCGATAATCTGATACCTTGATAAATAGTGAGATTTTCATTTTCATATTAAAGTCTATTTTGATGTCGATACTTAAAACTTTGTATGAGATCGTTCATGAAATATCTCAATGTATGCAATGATTTCTTGATCATTTTATACGAAAATGATTTTTCAAATACCTTGAATAACTTTGTTCGAACGATATTCATGTTCGACTTTATTAATCAATTTGATATATCTCAAATTATCTTTGTAATTATTAATGAAATAAATCAAACATTTCATCCTTCACTAATAGGTCATATGATAATTCCACAATAATATTATGGAATAGTTGATACCAAAATAAATCAAAAGTTTGCTTCGATAAATTCTTATGTCGAATATTCAGATTGATCACAGAAACTGAATATTGTAAATAATTCATCGTCAATTGCAATCTGCTCTTGAATTTAAGAGTACATAGTATCTAATTCAGCTCAAATACAAACCAAATTATTAGTTTGGTTAAGTACTCGATGTAGTCAAAAAGATTTTGTGTTTCTCAATCGATTGCATATAGTTTATACAAGACTCAATTTCTTTGTAGTATTGAACATAATCATGATTTTAACGTTATCGTTCATTGATGTTTTCTCTTTGATCGTACAAATACATATCAGAATCGAACCAGAGAATAGTAATACTTTCTTTGTTTTCTTTTTGATTCGCCATGTTTGATAATTGGTGTAGATTAGTGTTCAAACGAACATCAGTGATTATTCATCGAATTAATTTTGTGACAATATAATAAACATTCGAATAAAAACAAATCTTATTAACATTCGTGGCAGAAGCAAAGATGAGTGAATATAAGCTCTACAATTCAATAAGAACAGTAACTAGCTATGTGTGGGTTTCATCTTTGAAAAGCACAAAAAAACTTTATGAAAACTCTGTTTCATTTCTACGTAATTGTGATTTTTGTCATGTGGTTTAGGCAGAAGAACTTCGAATGTATAATTCAAGACACCATTTAGAGGATTATATTGTCACTTTTTAATATTGAATAAATGAATTCGCATTTATATTCGATCTATTTCTTGCTATAAACACGCTTTAAAGCAAGTACTAGATAAGTGTATGAGATGGCTTTAAATGTAACATAAAGAAGTTTCATAGGATTAATTATTCAAACACTAAAACTTGATTTTCATTGTTATACAGACAAATCGATTTACAACATATCATTTATTCTTTGCTGCTGTTCTTAAGACCCGATTTTGATTTTCAAACGGTTATCAAGTACCAAAAATTAAGCGCACTCTGATATACAAAAAAAACAGAAAAGTCTCATTCTGCATACCCAAAAAAGAGCAAATTAGTTCTACGTTTTAATTTTCTAGTACCTGCAATAATGGTTAGATGATTGATTCTTATAGAAAAACAGAAAAAAAGTGAGCAATCCGCTGCTCTTATTACACAAGTTGAGAAATACGAAAAAAAACTTACGGTTGTTTGAATACTTTTTTTTGAGTTGCTGCAATTTATGCAGATAAACTAGATCTAACAATACGATAACTTCATTTGTGAAAGTTATCTATTATAGTTTTTAAAGAATATTTAAGATTCATTTTATAATAGTATTTATATTCTAGAGAGTCTTCTCCAATACTGTACCCATATTTTCATCTACTTTCAATGATAGACTATTGTCAGTTTTGATTGTTCAACACTTCTATATATTATGAGAAATATGTTAGAAAACTTTGACCTTTTTTAAATAAATACAAAATCTTGTATTTTCTGCCACTTAAAGATATCACGAAATTAAATAAGAGCTTGATAAGATAAAAAATATTTGATCAATGACTTTTAAGAAAAATAGTATAAATATAAAATATATTTCTATTCATCAAAAATTAATCTACCGCTGCAAAAAAAAACACATTATATGTTTATTATCAGAACAAAACATGATATTATATTTTTCTTAAAGTTTAATCAGTTACAAGCAGATAAGAGCGTAGATGATTAAACGTTTCTTTGGAGCAGTATGGCAACTAACGACAGTTGTTGATAATTTTCTGGTCTTTACATAAAAAATAAATATACTATGGACTAATGGACTTCACTTAGGTTCAACCAACTTAGGTCTACTTCACATGACCATCTTCTTACGATGTGTGCAGCCAGAAGAAATTTTTCTTACTCCCCACAATGAGTCATTTTGCTTTATTTCGTTCTCTTCGTACACTTAATACATCTTGTGAATCGAACTATTATCGACTCATTCTACCATCACAAGAATTGCTCACCTGTGATTTACGCTTTATAGAGAAAAGAGAAATGAGAAGCGAACGTCCTTCTTGTCCAAAATGAAAAGCCGTAATGTATTGATAAAAATGATTCATTCGCTTATTCTATCTAAAAAAAGAGAAAAAAATGCGTCGCCTTTCTACGCATGATCAGTTAAGGTAAAAAAATATACATTTACATGACTGCTGGTTGTTGATCATATTTTGTACATAGTACCACGATTGCTGTTTACGTATGTCAGAAGAAAATATTCCTCTGGTGCAATCTGCAGAGGAAGACAACAGTGCAAATGAAGACTTGTCGAATCAATCTCGAGCAACCTGGCCTAGAGTAAGAATTTTTATTTCAATCATTTAAACTCACATCGACTAATCTTATTTTAACAAAATAACGGGTGCGGCAGATGAAGTTGCCGGTTTTTGATAGACTGTTTTCTCAAGTTAGTCTCGACCAGAAAGTTTGGTTCTGATGTTAAAAGATAGAGAATTTTGTGTAGAATTTATTAATATGTTCTCTTTTAAATCAACATTTGTCGTTTCTTTGTAGCATAAAAATTACTGAATACCACAAAAACATAAACTGCTCAACTGAAAAATCAGAAACGCGTAAAAATCAATTTTTGCCAAGTTAGATTGAGTTCAAAATCTCTTTCTTATAGCAAGATATGTAGATTTTTTTGGTGCATCTAGTGGTGTGTTGGGTTTGATACACTTAATTGCTTCTCCTACGAAAACTAAAAAGCATCGAAAAGACGTTCTCGGCTAACGGAATCGAACTTTTCTTTACCAATTTTATCAAAAGTTGACCTTGGAAAAATAATCCTTTTTGTATAAACAGACGCAGAATTTCAAGCTGGACAGAAAGTACTTTTTTATAAGGACTAACCTCTTTTTCTAACCGAATAACGAAGTTGAAATCTTTCCCTTGGCATTAATAGGCGCCAACAATTGATAATTAGACATATTTTGTATGCGGTTTTTAAATAGTAAAGCTTTGGACAAAAATTTGGTTTTGTGTCTAAAAAACAAATACGTTTATCTCCTTTTCATAGTGTGTTTGAATAGCGTATAGAAAATGATTTAAAAAATAAAAATGACATTTTATTCCAGCAAAGTGCTGAGCAGTTGATGTTTTTGTGGCATCCTGTAATTTTGATGCTACAAGAAAACGGAAAAAGCTCATTTAAAAAAGAAAATATCAATGAATTCTACACAAAATTCTCTATCTTTTAACATCAGAACCAAATTTTCTAGTCGAGTCTAACTTGAGAAAATAGCCTATCAAAAACCAGCAATTTTCTCTGCCGCACCCATTAATTTGCCTTGCTTATGAATAAGAAAAAAGCAGAAATCTAAAACGTCCTCATTGTCGTTGATCAATATATTTTATCCATGTCTAGAAAGTTTGAACTAAATTTATATTTTCACCATCACTTCTCTGTTATCACTTATCAGTTCATAGAGCACAAAAGTGCGAGATATTGACTGACATTGCAAGATTTTGCTTTTCTGCGTTATTTGTTTTTTTTTAAATAGATTTTTACTTGTCAGAAATTGAAACTAATAATTTCATTGATAAATTGATAAGCCACATCTAACTGTATAAAAAGGCGAACATTTAACCGATTTCATGGAGTAGTTTCTTTTCACACAATCTCAACTTAGAATACTAGAATCACTTTTATTCATTGTGATTTTTCTGAATAGTTATGGCTCCTATGGTCTTCACTGATCATATTTTTTGTATTAGCAATCATTCTCATACCCATTATCGTCATTTCTGTTAAAACACGTCGATCGTCCTCCGCTACACAACGAATCGATTGTTATCCCGAAATCAAATCAAAATTTTCAAATTATTCGAAAGAAGCCTGTCTTAAACGCAATTGTCTATTTGACAAGTCACCAAGTCCAAATGTTACTCAATGTTATTTAAATCCTGCCTATGGCTACATATTTCAACAAGAAGAACAAACAAAGACAGGTATACGAGTAAAACTGCGACGAAATCAAGCAATTGCCAGTATGTTTCCGGAACCTATTGATAATGTAGTACTTGATGTTCAATATTACACTAACGATATACTTCGATTCAAACTTTATGATGATGATAATCAACGATACGAGGTGAGATTAATTCGCATGAATAGCATCACGAAGATTTCGTGCATTCAGTTGATTTTCAATTACTTAAACATTCAAACTCATGACAGTAGTGGTTTTGAACGCTTCTAGACAATTTCTCTGTTTGAACGATCTGAGAATAAATATCAAACTTCTTGACAAGTAAACTAATAGGAAGGGTAGTCAAGAGGACTTCGCGATGTCATTATAAAAAACTGACTAGTATTCAAATTATAATGAAATAGATCTCATCTTGTTATGAATAGGTACCGATCCCATTAACTGACCCACTCGACCACACTTTGTCACCACAGTACGAATTTACTTATTCATCGAATGTTCTACCTCACAATCTGTTTTCGTTCGTTGTCAAACGTCGTGCAAGTGAAACTATTCTATTCGATACATCTCTCGGTGGTCTCGTGCTCAATAATCAATTTCTTCAAATCGTTACACGACTTCAATCGCCACACATTTACGGATTTGGTGAGAACAATCATGATACACTTAAACATAATGTATATGAACAAAAAACATGGGGTATTTTTGCGCGTGATCAAAGTTAGTTATTAATAGAAGATTTTTTTTTCTTTCAAATATGATAAGTATTGATCTATTCTCTAGATACGTATTGGGAGTCAAACACGAATCATTATGGTTCACATCCATTTTATGTTCTCATGGAACAAATACCAAATTCAGATGGACTTCCATCAGGTCATATGCATGGAGTTCTCTTACTCAATTCGAATGCTATGGACTATTCATTTAGTTCGACACCATCGTTAACAATACGTACAATCGGTGGTATTCTCGATTTTTTCATTTTTCTTGGTCCAACACCAGAACAAGTCATTCAACAATATACATGGCTTATTGGACGATCTATCTTGCCACCATATTGGTCACTCGGTTTTCAACTTTCTCGATGGGGTTATTCCAGTTTGAATCATATGCAAACTGTCATAGATCGCAATCGTGATGCTGGTGTGCCGCTTGATGTAATATATACTGATATTGATTATATGGATTCAAAAAAAGATTTTACAATCGATCCAATTCATTTTCGTCGAATAAACCAATATGTTGCTCTATTGAAACAAGATGGCATAAGAACAATGGTTATTATTGATCCGGGTATGATTAATGATAAAGATTATTATGCACCAACCATTGAAGGCATTCAAGAAGATGTATTCATTCGATGGGATCATACGGGGATACTGATGAAAGGAGCTTGTTGGCCAGGCGATGTTTTTTTTCCAGGTAAGTGTTAATAGATTGGACAGATAAGATGAATATCAAAATCAATTTAGATTTCTTTACAGACCGAACTCAAGCTTGGTGGTCACGATGGATAAAAAATTTTCGACAAGTCAATTTAACATTCGATGGACTTTGGCTTGATATGAATGAGCCTGGTAAGTGACACCAAGACCTCGGTAATCTATAATCTTTTAAATGTTTAGCTTTGTTCAATACAAATGATCCGATTTCATGGTATTGGATGGAGGCTGGCAGTAACTATACACTAAAATGTCCACAAAATCTATTGGACGATCCACCCTATCGTACAAAGGCTGTTTTTCAATATGACGACAATATGAATCGATCTGCTCGTCTTTCTGATCGCACTTTATGCATGTCAGCTCTTCAAGGAGAATTAAATTCAATGACAGGTAGACCTAAATATCGACACTATGATGTTCACAAGTATGTTTCACTCTCTCTCATTCTCGATTATCTGATAGATATTGAGTTCTCTCTGTAGTCTCTATGGCTGGAGTGAAACAAGAGAAACATGGAATGCGCTAAGATTAGCCATAAACAAACGAAGTTTAATATTAACTCGTTCAACTTTTGTTGGTTCGGGTCAATGGAGTAGTCATTGGTTTGGAGATAACCAAGCCACATGGCATGAAATGAAACGATCGTTGATTATGATGGTTGAATTCAATTGGTTCGGTATTCCATTCAATGGTGCTGATATTTGCGGTTTTGAAAAATCACCAAGTGAAGAAATGTGCATTCGGTAATGAAGAAATTATTGTTTTTCTATTGGATATATCTCATTCTTGTTCTAGATGGATGCAAATTGGTGCCTTCTATCCGTTTTCCCGAAATGTAAGTTCAATATGTGTAAATATTTTTTCTTTATTCTTGTTTTTTTATCTATAGCACAACGGTAACAAGGCATTTGATCAAGATCCAGCTTCTTGGTCTGCATTAGCGGTTTCTATCATGATTTCGGCTCTTCAAATTCGTTATACTCTTCTACCATACTATTACACATTGTTCTACAAAGCACATACACAAGGTTCAACAGTTATTCGACCATTGTTTCATGAATTTTCAACAGATAAAACAACACTCGATATTTATCTTCAATTTCTCATTGGACCACATATCATGATAGCACCAGTTACCGATGATGGAGCACGACAAGTTCGAATCTATATTCCTTCATCACATTGGTACAATTATTATACAGGTTCCCTTATTCAAACACAACAACAATTTGTGATTGCAGAAGCACCATTAGAAACCATACCAATTTTGTTGAGAGGTGGAGCCATTTTGCCAACACAAGGCTATGCTTTGAATACAAAATATTCAAGGTAAATAATTGAAGATTCTTTTGATTACATGTAGAATTCATCTTATACTCTAGAGAGAAACCATTTGGACTCATTATTGTTCTAAATGCAAATGGTCGAGCAGAAGGAGATCTCTTCTATGATGATGGTGAATCTCTTGATACAATCGATTCACAAAACTATTATTATGCATCATTCAAATGGTCATCAGAGAACAGTAAATTGTCGATTAATGTTATCAAAAATAACTATGCACATATGTCGAGATTAATCTTAGATTCATTAGTCATCTATGGATGGAATCGAATACCAACTAGAATACGTGTTAACAACAAACAAGTGCATCCAATAGTGAAATTTCATATGCAAATTGTTCATATCGAGAAATTAGCGTTGGTCATGAACACAAATCACATAGTCACATGGGACGAAATTGCAAATAATGACGACTAAGCACTGTTCCAAATTTAAACTTTACATAAGAATTGAAATCCTAGTTTTAATTCAAAATGTTCATTTGAGCTACGTTGGAATTAAAGACGTAAAGAATAAGCTTCTTTGTATCCTGTACCCTATCTAAGAAAAATTTCGTTACCCTCATCTTTAAAATCATTAGAAATCCTAATCATCCTAAAAAAATGTAGTATTTCAACTCCAAATAATGTTGGTTTCTACAAAACAGTTCTATTTTTTCTTGATTCATTTGATCTAATCAATAAAAAATAGTTTACGCTACTCACGCTGCAGTTTATTGACTAAAGCACGACAATAGTTGTCATAAAGACTTCACTCTATGTTAATGTAAATGACATCATAGAATTATACTTTATTTTTTGAAGCTCACTCCTCTTCTTAGTAATTGAACTACATTAATTTTGAATCATACCTTCCTTGTGAATATGTAGTTATCTGATGGTCTCCAAATATCACTATATATATCGGCCTGGCAAAAGTCTTTTCAACGTATAACTTAATCTTTGGGTTGAGTGTTGATGTGGTTCTTCTCTTTACCCATATCCAAAGTCAACAATTAGCTGATATTGTAGAATTTGAATATTTTCCATTTAAGACTTGATCACACCGGTATAGTCTAATGGTAGGATAAGAGACCTTCAATCTCTCAGTCTGGGTTCAAGTCCCAGTACCGGTAATGGTATTTTTTTTTTCTTTTGATTGTTTAATTTATTTCGTCATTGATGAAAGGTAATTTCGTAATTTCAAATGTTCTGTGCGAACCTTGGTCGATTCTCTCTGCCGACAAAAAGAACGAAAGAAAACAACAACATATAGATATTTGAAGAGCAATATTTCTTTCTTTCTTTCTTTCTTTTATTTTAAATTTGGTGTTATGAAATATTTGCTATGTCGTATCTCTCTATTTATATTTCCATTAACATATCGACTTTGTAAAAAAAGAGCAATTTATCTTTATTAAGGCAATCAAGTGTACGGCCACAATTGTGAACTTTCAGTTTCTAATATTATATTTGGGTGTGAGCGTTGGGATGGTTGATGTAGATATGACGTAAAGATCTACATTCTCAGTCACACCCACACACTCTTGCACTGGCTATTATCCGACTCCACATTTTTATGCAGGTAAATCCTTGTAGGGTTAGTTTAGTCTTGTAAGATCCTATTTATATGCACAAGATAAGCTCAAAAACGATTGATTTCCTTACGTGACCATTGTTCGATCTACCGAGCAATCAGGCGATAACTAATGCGTCAACAACACTTGGTTGTTTTATAGCTTAATTCTTTTCGTCATCACTTTCAGCGAAGAGAACAAAACTTGTCGCGTTCGACCAGTAAACTAATTAATTATGCTGTTCACACCTGCAATAAATCAGAAAAAAACCGCTTTTGTTGCACAATTATTAACATGACCCGTTGTTGGAATTTTCATTTGGTTGCAACCATTTTTCTTGTTGTCGCAACAGATCGTATGTCTATTCTAGGTAGTAATAGTCACAATAAGACTATGCGCAGACTGTGGCTGTATCATGCGAATAAAAGTACATGCATACAATCTTCACAAGTGATAACGCGAGCAAATATGACATTTTAGTAAAATGATGGCTTAGCTCGTGCGTATACAATGTTTGTTCAAAAGATTCGACTGCTTGTTACAATATTTTATTCATCAAGATCCCTTGGAATATGATTTTATACATAGTCAATGGTCATCTAACTAATGGTAATGAAACTGGACGACTTTACGTGGAATACTCTCTAAAACATAGAGGTCACTAGGCTGAAGATTGAAGCTTTTCATTGAATTCTGTGCTTGCTCTGTTGTTTATATTTTTATGTGCCGTAGCACGAGTTTCGCAAACGTATTTTGTGTACAGCCATTTTCGTGTAAAGACCTCGATAAACGAGCCTATACATTTATATCTCTATCTGGAGCAAGACAAAGATAACAATGCAACAAAATATATATAAGGCATTCGATGATAACCATCATTGCAAACGTGCACGCAAGACATGCAAAAAATGTTCTTCTTCGTTTTTCTAATCATAATTCTCGACATCAGTCAAGCTGAAGATCGCTTTCATCCACAATATCATCTGTTGCCACCGAGTAATTGGCTTAATGACCCGAATGGTCCTGTATACTACAATGGGTATTATCATATGTTCTTTCAATACAATCCAGAAGCTCCAGTACCAAGAAAAATACATTGGGTAGGTGATATCAAGCAAAGTCAAAAATTTCTGATATTGTTATGTTGTTTGTTTCCTGTTTGAAGGGTCATTGCTATAGTAAAGACATGGTTCATTGGATACGTTTGCCGAATGCCATTGCACCTGATCAAACATACGATATAAATGGCATCTGGACTGGCAGTACATCTATCGTTGACGGTGTTCCAATTATCATCTATACTGGAATCAATGAAACCAATGCACAAGTACAATGTCAAGCTCGTCCAGCTAACGTCTCAGATCCAACATTGACGGAATGGATTAAGTGGCCATCGAATCCACTTATTACTAGTCCAAATGGACGTGATCCATCGACAGCTTTTCAAGATGATCACAATAATTACTACTTGATCTATGGATTCGGCTCGGATCAACTAGGTGGACAAGCAGTCTTATTTACATCAAAGGATTTTGTGAATTGGACGTATTTGCATCCAATTCACAGCAACCATTATGATGTCTTTTGGGAGTGTCCAGACATTTTCAATGTTTCTAACCGACTCATCATGAAAGCATCATTGCGTGGACAAGACTTTTGGACTGTTGGTGAACTAGATCCTATAGAAAAAGTTTTTCATCCTCTTGCTGGGGATCTTGGCGAATATACACAACTAGTCGATCAGGGGAAATTCTATGCATCAAAATCGTTTCATGATCCAATTTCTGATCGACAAGTGATCGTAGGTTGGATAGCTGAAGATGATGATCAAGGTGAAAAACGAGGTTGGCAAGGTATGCATTCTCTACCACGATCTATCTTTCTGTCGGATGACGGTCTGCAACTTCGTTCAAGTCCAATAGTAGCATTGCAAAGTCTACGTATTGAAGAAAGTCATCGATACTTTCATAATATCGTTTTATTATCAATAATACCATTCGAACTAGTGCCTGATGTGAGTGGAAATCAAATTGAAGTGATGATCAACTGGCAATTTCCAAGAGATCAAGTAAATATACCTTCAGACTGTTGTGATCAAATTTTCGATGAATTTTTTCGTAGGATTTAGATTTCGGATTGAGTGTTCTTTCAACATCGAATGGTAACCAACGAACAAACATTGGTGTGATGACGAGAGCTAACACAACATTTATGCCTAATTGGGATTTGCCTGGATGGGACTATTTTAATGTACCAGGTATTACAAATTCGTTTGATTGTCAATACGCTTGTAATCAGGATGTTAAATGTCGTGCATGGACTTTTGTCAGCAGTCGACAAGTAAATAACAATTGTTTTCTTAAAACGGGGATACCGCATTTGGAAGCAGACTCAACATGTACCTCAGGTATAAAACAACGCCAAGCAAATCAGCAACAACTTGTGTGGATCTACATTAATCGAACCTTATCCCAGCAAAATCCTGGCGCATCACGTGTTCCACTTGCTGGTACGATCTTGTTGGAGTCTGAGTCATTGAACAATCAGTGGCTTCTTGGATTACATATTTTCATTGATCATTCAGTAATCGAAGTGTTTGAACTACAAGGTGGTCGTGTGGCAATCACAACGCGTGTCTATCCAGAAGACGATACGGCCGAACATTTAGCAGTTTATGTAAATAGTGGTCCGACCACGAATCAGAGTATTATAATTGACACATTCGACATTTGGACTCTGAACGGCATCTGGACGTGACATCAGGAAGACAATTTTCTCATTATGTTGAAAGAACCTTGTGAAATCGAAAACTTTATGAACCAGACATTAATAAAATTCTATTCTAGTGGTATAAATTCGAAATAATAACAATATATCATTCAGAAACGGCTGAATTTTGCTGCTTCCAGGAAAAGCTATTTGTAATGACGCCACATTAGTCGGCAACTGAATGAATGTGGATAATGCGTGAGCACCCCTCACAAACAGCTATGGAAAATCTTCATGATAAGATTTTCCAAATTTGAAATAAACTTGTAAGAAATTATTGTTTTCGCCATTTTTGCGATGACTGACGTGTATGTCTTTCGACGAAATATGACGAGCAGTAGATTAAATGTTGCTCACTTATTTGTCAAATTTATGTTCACGCATTGTATGCAAAAGACCATAATTGGTAGCGACGGTGTTCAGTATCTAAATACAATCTAAGGCTACCTATTTTCTATAGTATGTCAAATATTACTAACAACGAGAGTGTAGGTATGGGTTTTGGAGAAGAGATCAAGAATTTCAATGATTATATTCATTTTACTACGATTGGTTAGCCTCAGTGATATTGATATGTATTTATTACAAATGAAAAAATTAATTTTGGAACAAGATATTCGTCGTGTATCTGTAGTCTTGAAGTAACATAAAAAAGCGAGCGATAATTGAATTATTTCCTAGAGATAAACTGCGTTTAAATTATCATTATAGGTATGCGTGTGGCTATCTGCTATATCTATACCGACATCTACACTCTCTTCCACATGAGTTTATCTATCTATAAGAAAAATCTTAGCTTGTTTGAACTTTAATGATTGACATAATAACTTTTCTAGTTGTAATAGTGAAAACTTTCGATCTCCTCAGAAACACGCCATAAGCACGCAGTCTTTTTATATGTTAAACATAGTTCATTAGTGTTAATAAGATCTACTAAATCCTTGCTCAAAAGGCCTTCGATACTTTCGAATGTTCCATTGTATAATTTTTAATCGATTATTTGATATCAATTAGACAAGTTTTCTTTTTGATACTTTGTCGTGAGTCATTTTATCTGGAAGGAATTTTACTCAGTAGGAAGTTCGATCCGTCATTCACACCTCCTCACGAATATAACGATATTTGCATAGTATAGTTGTTGTAAATGTACAGTGATGATTATTGATTGGTGTGTAGTAAATATAACATAGAACGCGATGTTGTCCTCAATAATGTAAAATATATTATGATGGTTGCAGGTATGCGGTCATGTACGATGAATAAAGCAAGCTTATTGCTGCCAACAGAACAATTTTCTCTTGCTGCCATCGTTACAAAACTAGAAAGAGAACATAACGATTGCCAACTCACAGATCTGTAATCATATAGACACCAACACACACATACTTATAAGCATACGAACGCACGTGTGTCTCGTTCTCTACCATCAACATGACACATGATACGCATGCGCAACACTATTTTCATGAATCTGACAAATTTCCATATCGACCAATTTCGCCTATATGGATGATAATCTATGTTTTACCATCATTTTGTTTCTTTATCATCGTTAATCGACGTGTGGCAACACCAAACAAGGATTATTCTGGTGGAAAATCAACTTGGCCTCAACGAAACACATTTATAAGTTTTATTCATTCTTGTCTCTCTTCAATATTCGTAGTGATTGCTATCATACGAGCACCAGAAATGCTCGACGATCCTTTATCACACATGAACCGTTTTAATCATGCGTTAGCTGCATTTTCACTCGGCTATTTTCTATGGGACTTTGTTGATTGTAAACAAAATTCTGCATTGCCAGTACTGGGTATTCTGATTCATCACATCGCTGCTATTTCATTCTTAGGCTATGTACTCTTTAATACGCGCAATCTTGGATATGCTTTATATGGTCTTTCGCTCGAAATTAACAGTGTATTTTTGCATGGACGACGTCTTCTCCGCTGGTATTCACCAAAGTCACTATCAGTCAGATCCAAAGAAAGACTTCGCATTTTTGTTACAATTGGAAATTATCTGACATTTATAATTTTCCGCTTCGGAGTTGTAGGCGTTTGTTTGCATGCGCTTTATTTCCAGCGACACAGACTCAATCGAGAAGTCCACGTATGCATAACAGTTGCTATTCTTGCTGTTTGTTTTCTTAACGTAGTTCTTCTCTATCGCCTTATCAAAAATGATATGATCAGCAGTTCGAAATTGAAACAAGATAAATCGAAAAATACCCTCACAGAACAATCAATTGATGAAATGTTGATAGCAAACTGATATCATAGAGTATCATTTGCTTTTGGATTTACATGATTTCGAATAAAGAAAATTTTTCACTGTTATGTGCTTTGTTTTTATTATAAATGACAGTCGCATTTACTTTTTAATCGTAACTTGTGGCTTTAGAGAAAACCGATTGTAGACGAACTTCATAAGACATCTATGGACGATAGGTTGTAAATGTCTACCAATAACTATTCTGATTATTCTACTGCTGACCAAAAAAATGTCAGCATATGTTTATGCATCTAAGTATCTTAAAACACAGTAATCATTGTCGAAAAAAAGTATACGAAAACAGAAAAATCATAAAAAACATCGTCATTCCTCAAAAGCTACAAGAGATACTAATAATACGAACAGACTACTGGAAAACAAATAGCTCTTCTTTAATGATCAATCCGTCATTATTTTTGTTTAATAAAAAATTTATAAACATTGAAAATAGATACGATCAAATCTTCTCGATTATCTTTCTTTAATCTGCTGACAATGCTTAACCATTTGTTCTGTAAGAAAATTGAATTTAGTTACTCGTCGAAACAATAAGACCAACGAAATGTTCTTGTTTAAGTTGCTTTTCAAAGTACAGCTTTTTAGGTGACTCACAATAATTCAGCTTGATTGACGTCGAGGAAAACTACAAAAACCTAAAAGAGTTGGGGAATAATCTAGAAAAAATGATCTAATTGATGTATCTTTTCGTAATTTACTACATAGTCGTTCAAGATTTTAACTTGGAAAAATCCATTTTTTTCTGCTTGATTCTAATCTAACTTTTTTCCAACTCACTTCCTCCTTATATTCTCGAATTCTATTTCTTCTAATATCCCACAGTGAAGCCGTTTCATCATGACATCTACCGATCATCGCCGATACATACTTTGTTTTTTTACTAATCAGCAATGACAGAACACAAGAAAGCATATTCTAAGAGGGTAACAGTTATGTCATTATTCTTTTTTTTCATTTTTGGGAAACGATAGATCAATAGTAAGAAGAATAATAAATAGTAAAGGTAAGACTGATTTAAATCGTCAGTACAATAGATAAAATGATCAGTAAAACGATATATAAATGATCCGTATACAGAATGAGTGATTAATTGTCGAATTATTAGTATTAAATTACAAAAATATTATATAATGAGCAATAAAAAAATACATTTGACATCTGACAAAATTTCAAATTTGGTTAGTGAAAAATATTGATTTTATTAGTAGAAATTTTTATCTGCATGAAATATAATCTAGTATAAGTAGAAGAAATAAAAAAAAGAAGGTTAAAAATAAATTTAAAAAATAAAATTGACAAGAAAAATAAATTTTTGTATTAGCAAAGCAATCTTTGCTTGTGTTGATTTACCTTTTCTCCTGTATCATCGAGTGGAGTTGTCTCTCTTGTTGTTGGTCCATTTACGGTATTTTAGACAAATAGCATATCAACAACGCGTTCGCATGTGTGATTCTTCAAAGGATGTGAATATAAATATTCTCGTCACCTACAAACTAATTCATAATTAATTGACCATTTCATCTATTATACTAGCCATCTTTTTTGTTTCGTAAAGGTAAACCGTAGAGTTTATGTTGATTGCAGAAACTGGCACATTATTATCACATAATATTCATCATTTTTTTAACGAAAATCAACAGCAGAGAATAAAAATATGACTTTGGGAAATTGAAGAACAGACAAATGATAAAAGGCGAATGATAGAAAACTCAGTTCAATATGTCGTGTTCGTCAAAAGATGAAGTATAACATGACTAGTTATTTGTTTGTGCATTTTTCTCATTCTTTGTATACTTTATCGAACTATTAATTGTATCTTTTTAGATTTTGTCATTGGATTGGTTCTTTCGTCTTTTTGTTTATGTCCTTCTGATGGCACATCTGCTTGTTGAAAATCCATCATCATCTTCTTCAAACAATCAACAGATCACCAGCGCCTCATCCTGTCATTGGGCTTTGAAGTCTTGTACTTTAACCGATCCCAAAGTGATCGCACTTGTATGCTTTGAACAATCAAATTATGCGGTCCATCTCCATCCTGAAGATAAGCGTGGCTATCGCTCCATTGTTCGATTGATCAACAACGACCAAATATTTTCAACAATCAATCGAGATTATACTTCAGTAGAAAGAATTGGTCTTGCGTTAACCATGACTTTAGTCACAGAAGCCTATAATCATATTGTACCAATCGCTCAAAATGCAGTTACAGGAAATAACGCTCGTTTGTTAGATCCGAAAACGGTCACCATTCAACTGGGTATCACACAAGAACCAATTTTTCTCCATGGTCATGTGTTTGGATGCGGCGATCCAGAAAGAAAATATATTGATGATGTTCAATTGGATGGTCCTATTCTTGGAACACTTTTCAATATGAACACTTCATCTCCGCACGAATCAGATCACGATAAAAAAGTGTCCTGGAAATCGGAGGAAATAAATAAAGTAGTTCGTAGATTAGAAACTGAAATTGAAAACATTCATCATGCTTACAAAATTCACGGACTCACCATCATTACCCGAAATACTTTCTTTAATATCTACATAGTAAGACATGGTGAAACTGATTGGAACACTCAAACAAGACTTCAAGGACACACAGATATTGCGTTAAGTGAGAAAGGCAGACTTCAGGCTTGTCAACTTCAAGAAAAGTTCGCTGGCATTCATTTTTCAAAAGTATTCTCATCCGATTTGATACGAGCGCGTTCAACTGCTGAACTGATTCTCGGTTCGAACAAATCAACTATTATTGAAACACCACTGCTTCGAGAAAGATGCTTGGGAACCTGGGAAGGACGTTTTGCTGGTGAATTAAAATCACACTTGGAACAAACTATCGATGTTGACAATTTCACACAAGAGGAATATTTGTCGTTTAAATGGGATGATACTGCTGAAAGCTATTCTGATGCATATCAACGACTACAAACTTTTATCCGATCCATTGCATTTTCTACACCGATAAGTGATGATCCAATTTTACTTTGTAGCCATGGTGGTATCTTGCGAAGCATACTTTATCACTTGGACTTTCGTCCTGGACTTCGCTGGCAGGTAACCAATTGTGCTTTTCTGAAGCTGAGGGTAAAGGCTGATGGAGAAATCACCATCATGGCTTCTGAGGGTGTCAAATTGGCCGAAGCCAAGCAGATCATGTTATCATTCTGAGGTATACTGTCCAAACAATCCAATATCTTAATCCTTCGAAGACTCTCTGTCTCTTGCTCTAGCCTTACTGATGGCATATTGGTCTTTATGAACATACTTTTTGTATTGTTTTTAAAGGTGTTTACAATTTTTTTTGTAACATTAAAAATTCTGTAACATCGATGCTCTATGTTTATTATAAAATTTTAAGGATCTGCAAAATAAGAAGACTGAACGACAAACTGATTATTTCTACTGTTCAATCACATGTTGTAACAATTAATCTATGAATTTCAGCGGTATTACCGTTATGAATGGCATATTTACACGACTTTTTAAAAGCAAAAATTTTTGTTTTCACTAAGAAATTTTGACATTCTATAGATCGATAACAGAGTAGTTGAGTCTAGTACTTATAGAACACCATGTAACTTCAGTTTATTCATATAAACAATTATTGAGATCACAAGTGAAAAAAAGTTTTCGATCTTTTAAAAGCATTGCCTCTTGTTTCACTAGGAAAAGTAGTGATTAACTGTTCTAGCTATTGGTTCATATATTCACAAATAACACCTTCATTATTCCAGTTCGAAAACTCTCAGTCACAATCGAATGTGAGGCATTTAACTTCGATAAAGCATATCTTAGTACTTTCATGAAAAACCTTGAAATAGAAAAATGTGTAAATTTGCTTGTAGATTCGAGATTAAAAGCTGGAAAAAAGAAGAGGCACAAACTGTTTAAAAGATCAAGAACTTTTTCAATCTGTTAATGCCAATAATTACTTGTAGGAGTAAACTGAACTTGCATAGTGTTCTTCATTCTAGGCTCAATGATCACGGGCTCAATCGTCGGTATACTATAAAAAATCATAAACTTGAAGAAAGAACTCGAAATTCTATAACTGGACCTAACTGATTATAACGACGTTTTCTTATTTATGAAAAGTCAAATAAATGTGTCGCTCCGAATTGTGATCTCTATAGAATCGATTATTCTACTTTGATGATGTATGCATTTTCAGTATGGTGAAAAACTGCAGAAAATTAATATTTTAACTCTTAGTTTTCATGAATCAATTTCAATGACAAAGTGGATGTGTGCTGAAAAGTAATAATCTGCAGATAGATTCCTTATCGATCCATCCCGTGCTCTTTATTGAGATAACGCATCTGATAACTTTCTAGTCACTATGGCATAATTACTGTAAATTAATGCGTTGTATTCACTTTGATGGCTATCATATCTACATCTAATAAGTGATGTAGGTTATATCCTACTAGCAACGCCCATTGGACATGTTGACTACTAGTTTGGAATAGAGGACATCAAGTGTTTCGAGAGTATCACTCTTCATTAGTTATCGATTCTTCTTTTCTTTTTCTATTTAACGCCTTTATCAATGAGTTCTTAAGTATTCGATAATGTTCGAATACTTCTTGGATTAAAAAAAGAACGTGTTTGTTATTGTCAATATAGATTAATATCTAAGTTGTATGCTAATGGATCATATTCGTCTTAACAATATCTTGTGACTTGCATTAGTATCTTTTTACTTAAATTGTTCTTATCAAAAATAACACGTCTAAGAAAAATCTCCTTCAGCATTTGATATTATATCTACAAGACAGATTAAGCCAGGTAACTAACATGATTATGCTATAGTTTTATTTTAGAGTATTTTCGTGGAAAAAAACTTGAAAACAATCTCTTTCTTTTTGTTCATTTGGAAAACGATTGAACTTTCTAGTCAGTAATCCATTGTTGAACATCATATATGTGAAAATTTATTAATCTATGAGAAAAATAGCTATGCAAAACAACGATGTAATGGAAACTTTCAGAGAACAACGCTATTTTTGCGTTTAAAAACATCGTTTATTTTAATTTTAATGCACATAAACTCATCTTGTCTACTTACAATGCGCTTTTTGCGAAAAAATAAGTTATTTAACAAACAAGTTAAATGAATATTGGATTTTCTATTGCGAATAAAAGCGCCTTTTTATGAAATGAAAATCTTCTAACATATAGAGAAACATTTTGTGATATCACACTGAAAAANACATATTTTCACAGCTGACTATCAAATAAAACCTCGAGATCAATTATTATTTCATTTCACGATCATTTGCTAATTCATAAAATTTGTTCACAAGGAGTTGAACATCATTGCAGAGGTCGCTGTTTCACTACCTACCTATATCAACTCATATATCGCAATCTTTAATGCAGAACAAAAAATCATCATCATGTTTATATAACAAATGAACGGACAAGTGATAATTGATCTTTGTAATACAATTTTCTAATTTTAGACAAGAAAAAAGAAAGTCAATGATGAGCAGATACTGTATAATTCGAATATGTTCCACTTGAGACTTGGTCACACCGGTATAGTCTAATGGTAGGATAAGAGACCTTCAATCTCTCAGTCTGGGTTCAAGTCCCAGTACCGGTAATGTTTTTTTTCTTTTTGCTTGTTCGATATATTTCGTCATCGATGAAAAGTAATTTCGTAATTTCAAATGTTCTGTACCAAAATTGTTCGATTCTTTCTGTCAATAGAGAGCAAAAAAAAACAACAACTTGCAAAGATTTGAAGAGCAACATTTCTCTCTATCTCGTACCTCTCTATTTATATATTATCATTAACATATCCAATTTTGAAAAAAAAAATTTAACTTCGTTAATAAAATCAAATGATTAATATTTCGGATTTGAAATTATTAGATCGTCAGCAATAAGACCAAACAACGCAATGATCTTATTCAAACAAATGATTTTCAACAATAAAGAAAGGTATTTCACTTGTAATTATAACCGATTAGTAAAAGATTTCATTCGAGCAGAAGAATCAGCTAATAAATCTGTAGTGTATTGCCAATAATTGTTATTATTGTTACATTGACTTCATTTCTTATCTGTTGGTGTTTGTCTACTGATGAGTCATGATTTTCATATATGTATAATTCTATATATATATGTATGTATATTCTTTTCCTTTGTGTTGTGATCATTCTAATTTCGTATATAACAATATTTCTATTGTTATATTTCTTTTGTTTCTTTATTCTATTCTCCATTCCATTAACATGAGTCATCGTTTCTATGCATATATAGACAGATATATATGTTCGTCTTTCTCTTCTTTGTCGTCATTTACTCTTGTAAGTTTCGTTTCATCTAACTTGTTATTTGTCTCTGTTCTTCAAGTCAATAAAACATCATTATTGACCTTGACCTCGATTGTATTACGCAATTGATAGTACAATACATTTTCTGGCTTTTACGTATACCCTGAATACGTAACAAAATCGTATAAAGAACGTTCGAAAAAAAGTATACAACAGAATTCTAGCGTAAGAATGAGTAAGTTCCAAGGATAGCTTCGCTCATCCCCATGCAGTGTTTTATTCACTAGGATCTCTCGGGATATAACTTTATGTGTAGTCAATGTTCATCTAACTCATGGTGATCAAACTTCACATCTTTAAACAAAATACTTTCATAAGCACAGAGGTCGCTAAGTTGAAGACTGAAGCTGTTCGTTGAATACAATGCGTGCTTCTGTGTTTCGTGCAAGCGATATGCTCTTATGTTCCTTAACATGAGTTTTACAACCGAAAATGTATGCCCATATAAGCCACTCATGCATTCGCAAGTATATTTTGTGCTAGCCATTTGCGAATGTAGAGAGCTTGATAAACGAACCTGCGCACTTGTCTCTCAAACAGGAGTAAGAAATAAGATAACAATGCGACAAGAGATATATATAAGGGACTCGGCGACAAACGTTGTTGTAAATCTGCACACAAGACATACAAAAAGTGATCTTTTTCATTTTTCTAATCATAGTTCTCGACATCAGTCAAGCTGATGATCGCTTTCGTCCACAATATCATTTATTACTACCGGGCAATTGGCTCAACGATCCAAATGGTCCCGTATACTACAATGGGTATTATCATTATAACGATCAATAAGGCTCTAACTGGGTTGATACGTAATGACAAACTGAATAGAGGTGGAGTAGCTTACTGCCAATCTCGGCCATGATGTTTATTCGCTTCTTCACATATCCAGAGTGTAACAACTTCATACATAACACACATATATATAGGAGAGAGATATATTAGAACAACGGAAAGAGAACAGAAGGAGGAGGAAGGAGAATCATCGAAGCGTGCCATCAATATCGGCACAATCATATGTTCTTTCAATATAATCCAGATGCGCCGGTGCCAAAAGAATACATTGGGTAGGTGATATCAAGCAGATTCAAGTATGATGTCAGATATTGTTCTGTTGTTTTTGATTTCTTGTTCGAAGAG